TTTTTGGTGCAATTTCGCAGTTGGTTCAGTATTTTTACATTTTGACATGTGTAAAATCACTGTGTGAAGGTTTAAATCAAAAATGTTGATCATACTCCGTCGATTTGGTGTTTTAGTCATTGATGTTTTTGTTGATAATCCGATGTGAGAGAGCTACTTAGCGAAAAATCTATCAAAAGTGTAAACCGACGAATTTATTGACAATAAAATGGGTTCGGACTGGCTGGTAATGGTCATGTTCAGATTCTACGGAGAAAATTGACTCGATATAGGCCCAAAAAATGAGTTGTAAATAGTGATTTTGAGGTTTTATAACGTTATTTGTAGCAAAAATGTGAAATTTTGGTCGATTTTGGCCATATATTCGCCTGAAACAGCTCAGTATTGCACTTTAGAGCATTGTAATATTGACCAAAATTGTAGTACTGGACGCCAGCAGTAAGATCCAGTCATCTGTTGTCCAGTATAATTGCGATATAGTACCAAATTTTTTGAATATTCTTCAATGTATTGATTTTATTCCCCTACAAACTACATAGCTCTCGGGGGAGTGGATTTGATTAGTAAAAGTATGTCGGAAAATGGCTTAAATTTATTTTTTCGGCCCAAATTTTCGGATCAGCGGTTAGGAGCTGCAAATTTTAAAACATTTGGCATTTGGGCTACCCTAGTGCACACACACACACACGCATTCCAAACTAATTTTCATATAAATTATTTGGCACGGTATTGACATTTTTTTGGCATACATCATCAAACATCAAACAAACTTAATGTACTGCCTGCCTGTACACAATATCTCGGAATGCTTCCCGAATAAATCACAGCACAGAATATTCGTTCGTTATTGAGCCCAACGTGTTTTCGATACACTTTTCAATCGCTTGCTCAGTGCTCTTTTTAGAATGAAATTCACACCGACACGATAATACTATTGAAGTTCACGTAATTGCTTCTTTTGAAATTTGTCATTTTACTTTTGCCCATAATGTAAAAAAAAAATATATCGAAGTTATTTCAAATATTTCCTGAATGCACCAATGTCGGAGATCGTAAAGTTAATGCGCAGTTTGCATCGCCAGAATATAAAATAAATTATTTTTTGTTTATATTCCGCACAAATATTATCAGTTCACATTTTCCGCCAGGCGGTTCACCGTATCGTTTCAAATACGTGTGAAAATCGAATGAAGAGCATTCAATGTGCGTTTCGAGTCATATTTTCAGAGGAAAAACTGCTGATATTCATTCGAACCACGCAGAAATTCACTCACATCAACGTGAATTCTTTAAGTTTTGTCTGATTTGCGATTGGTCCGAAACACTATTCGAGAATGGAACAAAACAAAAACAAGAATCTGAACTCATCATAGCGTTAAAATTGATCTTATCAAAATGTTTTTGTTGTCGTATTCTTTCCATCATATATATTCCATGATATTTAGATTTTTCGATGGCATGCTTTTATATTGAGTGACATTCGCTTGAGTCTATTTTTGGAAACACACAAAAATCAATCCATCAAGAGAAAAAAAAACTGACGATAAACAACACTGAAACACACTCACACAGGTTGATTTGAAACAAAAAAAAAACGGGCAAAGTTCTGTTATTGCTTTTGGATATAATTTCGATCAAACTCGATGTCATAAATATATTACAACGATTCACTGTCTCGAAAAAAACTGATCAGCGCGCATCATTGGCTGTATGGAATCGCGTACACGCTATTTGCTTGTTGCTTGTTGCGATGTTACATCGCGTATGGCCCAGCGCAAAAAAAAGAGCGTTCGTGGAAGTGATCAAGCAATCAGCTAGTATCAGCGGTAATAACAAAATAGAGAGAGACAGAAAGAGACACAATCGACAAACGTCTGGGCGCAAATTCAATGAACAACAATATTTTTAGCTTTTATTTCATTTCGATGTATTCCATCGCTGTGTAATTGTAAATCGTATAATGCAAAGTCAAAGAGTCCGCTTTGCAAATAAACTTCATTTGTGTTTGCGTTGTTAATTGGCAGCAAACTGATGTTGGTTAGTAGCAGTGGCAGGCGGGCAGCAATAGTTGTCTTATTTTGAGAATATTAATTTTTCAAACGGACTCAATATGTTTTGTTATTCTTCTTTTTCGTCGGTTTTCGTTGCAAATTTTATAAAATATGAACGAATTTTCGTAGAATTGCCAACAAATACACTCGCACCCGATTTTCGTGTGGGCAACCGTTCACACACACAATTCTTTCTCTTTTCATTCAAAACGAGAATGTATTTTGTTGATTATACTTTTTTCGTCTCTTTCTCGATCATTAGCATTAAAACTTTAGTTGTTTGTTATTGTTTTAAAATATTTAATGCTCTCTTAATTACTTGAATGCAGTTGTGCGGTGCATTCGACAAAAAAAGAACAACAACAAACGAAAACAAATGATGAAGCTCAGAATGCATTGATTACCACCACAAGCACAATGTAAGCGAACAATTGAAAACATGAATTAAATTCAACCGTCAAACACGGAACTTCATATAAATGGTTAAACGCTTTTGCGTATCGGGTAATGCTACTTGCTTTTGTTTTGTTCGAAAAAAAAATAGAAACCAAATTCGAAGCGATCGCCATCAAAACCAAACGCCACACACATAAACAACTGTTTTTTTTTTATTTTGATTAGAAAGAGACAAAGCAACAACTTTATGGTTGTCTGGCCATTTGATTTATTTTATATATTTGAATATATATACTGAGTGAGTTTATGAAAGCGATCATTACTCTTGCGATTGCTGAATCAAATCTATCTATCAATTGGTTTTGATGTAAAAATGTAATCTTCAAACAAAATTTCGTCGGTACTTCTTTAGTTTGATTTATGATTTAGTTCGTCCTTTTTCTTTGGAACACTCGATATTTTTTTTTTATAAAAATAATATTTTTAGTCACGTAGTAGATAAAAGTTTCTTGCACAGACTTCTCTTGCCACAAAGTCACTACATAATGAATCAGCTTAAAAAAAATAACTCGTTTGACTTGTCTTTCCGTGTGCTTTGCCTCACACACATACACGCATACGAAACCGAACATACACGCATACACACATGTGCACACTTATCCGATGATCCACAGCTCTGTCACGCACATTCACCAAAAAAAACACATGCTTAGGCTGGCACGCTAAAGTTGTGAGCACCTGAAATACTAAGACCGATACAGACGTAGATCATGTCCGCATCCATTTGCCTACAATCCCACATAATAATAAAAATTGATACAAATATTGCTTGTTTTAAACGAGCTACTAATACGTCGGCTGGGTCTCTCTCTCTCTGTCACTCTTTTGATGATGATAATAATAATATACACAATACACACAGCGATAGACGTGTTGTGTACGCGCTACTGCTGCTGCTGCTGCTGCTGATTCTCTTCTCTCTGTTCGCTTCTTGCTCGCGCTACTTCGAGTAAGCGTTTTGAATATTTCATTGAGTTCGATACAAATGGTATAAATAGACATACGAAGTCGTTATCTCTTTCGTTCGCTCTATATTTTTTGTTCGTTCATGTTAAAAACCAGTTGAGAGCCCAGTGTGTGGATGATGTGTGTGAGTAATGTGCGTTCGTGTGTATGTTGGAGAGAGAGAGAGAAAGAGAGAGAAAGAGAGAGAGTGTATTCAACAGCTAATGATATGTGCCAGTGGTCAGCATGGCAGTGAAACATTGAACGATTATCGGTTGGCAGGTCGCTCTTTTCTTTCATTTTCTGTTTTGGTGATTAGGGAACGAATTCCGTACTCTTCGAATGAAACATAAAATATTATTATCGAGCATTCCGAATGGGAACAGTAGAAACCGACAAGGGCCACACATCCTTCAGCTGAAGTGATTTCCAATCGATTGAATCGTCTTGATCTCACGACATCCAAATATAGTTGCAATGCCAAAAAAGGGATGAGCCATTCAGTTTTATCATAAGAGCTCGAGCTCTGATAATACCGAACTGCCCTTTTACCATTTTACCAAAGAATATCTGCTCCAATTTCCATGCATTAAGGAGAAAGAATATCAATAAAGAAAAGCCAGATTCGAGTGTGTGGTGGGCACTTCATAAGCTCCGCAACAACAAATACAAATCGCACTGAGCCACTCCGATTGTTATGTTTAACAAGTTCATTGTGTCTGAATGGTTCGCCGTACACATTAACGCACTTTGCATCGGTTAATTGGTTTCAAGCATGGCATTCGCCAATGTATGTGTGCTTGGGTATATCCCATTCATACCATGCGAGCAATATAGTGCTGTAGGTCAATTTTCCATTCAACCGCCTAAACAAATGTCTATCGATATGGTACAGTTGAGCAAATTTTATTCATTTCTTCGGGTCATTCAATATATTTTATGACACATATAACTCACAAATGATCGAAGGATGGAAAGCAAATGGCTTCTCATTTGACCGAGAAAAAAGTTGTTCTTTCTTTTTCTCGGATTAAATAATTTTGACAACATCGAACAATAAGATTTTCTCGTGAGTATAAACAAAGTTTTTAAATGGTTTCTGGTTTTCTCTCTTTGTCAACTCATTCCAAAACTGTTGAGTGAGTCGTTTACTTTACAATAAAGTTCACAAGCTAAACTAATATTTACATAGATTGCAAAAATATTTACATAGCCTACTGACTGTTGACCTTCATTCTTTGGATCGGAACGGAGAGGATTTTCACCGAATTATGTAATGATAAATGCCACAAACAACAGAACAACTGGAGCTGGATCGAATTTCACTTTTGCATGACTATAGCATTCGACATTATTTACACTCGATTGATCGGACGTTATAAAACCGTAACGACGGATATTTAAAGAACATTTTGATTGTTAGTCAAGAACAGAAGGATTTTTTGTCGGGCTACATAAGAATCGCGTGTTCGTTCGATTTCGTTTTGGAATGATACAACAGAAAAATATATGTATGAGTAGTAAAGGGTCGTGTATTTTCTAAAAGATTCCTCAATTGCGTATTCCGTTTTAAATATTGTACAACTATTTAGTTTTATGTTGTTTGAATGAATAAAATTACACAATGCATCTAGCATCCATGATGGAGAGGAAAAAATCTAATAAAATAATTTTTATGCGAATCTAATCTGATTTATAGATTGAAGTACCTGCGAAAATCTCCAAATTTTCACGCGGTTCTCACTTTTCACTTGACTTTCTCACGTTCAAGTTGCACACTTCAAAATCTTTCACCACAAACATTCACATTCCATTCCACTTGCGTGTCGTGAACAGAAAAAATAAAAACTAAAATCGGATATTCAAACAATGATATCCTCTTACGGTCGAGCCAGTTCCTTGAATGAAAATGTCGTTCTATTCCCATTTCACGTTCGACAAACACTGAATCGTCGCGCTTGAAATTCCAAAGCATAAGCGCGCAAAATGCGAATAATTAACGTTTTGCAACAAAAACATTCATATTTTTAATCTGTGGCACAACAACACAAACACACGCTGTGCGCTAGCTAGTTGGTATGCAGTGTGTTGAGAATCTGAATGGTTTTCCTTTCACGGAACTTGTCTCCTTTACGATTCGCTTTAAGCTCGAGTCGTCGGTCGATGAAATTGGAAAAACCCATTAACAAATCGAGGAAAAAAAAATATTGTCTAACAATAAATTCGAGTGTATGTTGGCATAAATTTTGTTTTCGGTTTTCTGTTGTTGTTCTTTTATGTGCATATAGCGGCTCCTTCGTGGACTTCTTCGTATGTGCGCGTGAATTCCTTTCGTTTTGTTGTGGTCGACGATGTCGCGCGTGTTTGCATTTAAAAGGAACAAAAAACACTTGTATCGGGAACCAGCCAAACGGAATATACACACAGAGAAAGACAGACGAGAGAGTGAAGCAATGCGAAGTGAATCGATTGTATGATGTGCGAGTATGATTCCCTCACGCAACCAAAGAACTCATTATACCATTTCATAGAAGGCCAAACACATTCCATCGCTGAAACGGTTTCTCTTCATTTTGCTGTTCATCGTCAAAACGAACCGTTTTCTATGATTTAAATGAGGCGAAACTTTTTTGGATAATATAATTCCATAATAATCAAAACCGTCGCAGACCGTGTAATCAAATTGCATGCGATAACAGCAGCTTTTTTTAATGCCGGTCAGTTGGCAGTTCATTATTCGCATACTATGCTTACATTCAGCGTACGAGCCAAACACAAACAAACACATGATTAATTCTGTTATCTGGCGACTTTTTTTTCTGCTGCGTACTATAATTTTGCATTTAAGATTGGCAATGTCTTTAGTGTTGTAGTGCCGTCGGTGCCCACCACTCTATCATCTGAACGAAATTCTCAGAATTTCCCATCACGTAACCGTCAGCGTCGTGTATTGTTGTACGGCACTCATAGCGTTTATAATTTACGTACAAATCACACTTTTTTCCATTCGCGCTCATTCGAATCGATTTTCTCTCTCTCTCTCTCGTCTTTATTCAATTTTTATTGAGTAAACAGAGGCGCACACACTGTGTTGACATATGTCTGGCCTCTGTTCAATCGAATGAATAGTGAGATGGAAGAGAGAACGGGAGATGCTTCATGGAAATACGTCTTTCGTTCCGAATATAGGTGTTTCGTAATAATCGTGCATAATTATCGCATTTGGTTTTTATTGTGACGTTTTACATTTTTGGAATTGTTTCTCCATTTCAATGACGTCGGTCTGGAGAAGTCTGTTATTAGATGCATGTTATTTTTATCATCGATATTGGAAGACCAATTACGTCAAATTTGCTGGTTGGTCAAACCGTGTGCTACGCAGAGGTGCTTAGCTTAGTGAATGAATTTTGCGATGCTAAAAATGCTTCCGTTTCACAACTCTGAATGTTTGCGAGATTTTGGCTTTTCTCTATATCATTTGCATGATTCATCTGTGAATGTTTGCATGAGTCATGCACAAATTCCGCGATACGAAATGTAGCATCAGCGGCGGCGGCAGCATTTTAACTCAAATATTTGCTATTTTGAATTTTCAAACATTACCCTAGTATTCTACACGCCATTGATGAAAACAGCCGTTTGAACATTCGTTTTTATTTAGCGTTACTACGTTGTCAGGTTCAGCGTAACGAATCCGGTATGAAAAACGAAGTGTCCACACGATATCTAAGTAAGAGCGCGTTTGTTTTATCATCACGCAACAAACAGATTTATATACGCCTCAATGAGTAAATCAAAATTTGCTTTGTGCTGTCTTTTTTTGGACATGGAATTATTTTTTATAGACTGGAAGATCATATTTTATAAGCGAAGCGTTTGAACTGAAGCGAATAGAATGAATTATGAAGACCATAAAATCGATACTTCACAACGAAGGCGGTGATAATAAAACTCGAACGGAGGCAAAGAATATTGAATTTATTCGATAAATTTAGTGCGTATGGACTTTCCTAATATTCATCCATTAATCGATATCGATTTTTTTTCTATTCGGTAAATATATTTAGAGCGACCTATAATGAACAGGCCCATTAGACAGTGTGAAGAGTTATTGTAATGTAACGTAATCACAATTCATTCCACATTTAGGCAAATATCGCGTTATATGAACTCTATCCACATGCCATCGAACATACGGAAAAAAAAGTTATCGACACACGCAAATGAACAACGTTTATTTCGCACCCAAATCAGAACGCCAAATATTTACTAATTAGGACTGTGATTACAGCAATGCTTATGTTCATTGTTCAAACTGTTCATGTAATTATGAGCATTGGAAATTTCTCCGAACGAAAAAAAAAACACAAAATATTTGTAAAGGTGAAGAATAAGGGACATTCTTTTTTTCTTATCGATGAAGTGTGTAATTGCATATTTTCATTTCAGTCCTTTGGAATATCCTTGCGTGATTTCTCCGTTTGATTGATTGATTGATAACACGTAATTGTTTCTGGCGAAATATTCAGCAGTTTTCTTTATCAGACGCAAAATGCCTATGGTCTAATCCATACATTTTTGAAAATCATCTATTTGTATTGCAATTTCATCAGCCATTTTTCCATTAGCATTCCAATTTCGAAGGGAAATCCATCTAAGCTTCGTTTAAATTGGACAGTAACATGCTTTCAAACGCAATTGTTTCAATGTTTATATTTTGCAAAGTAAATTCAACTTACCTCTCTCTGCCTCTCTTTCACTCTCTGTGTGGTGAAATAACAAGCTTAAGTTCGTCTGACAGATAGATGTGGTACGTTTAAATGTCAAATTTAAGCTGTCAGATACCTGATTGTGTGCTTTAAAATTGACTTTTGAATGTTGTCAATTTCGACAACTGAATTTTCAACAACAGCAGACTCATTTGAAACCAATTTTCTTTTTACTATTTTTGTGACTTACCTTCGATGATATGTCTAGAAGAATATGTCTTGAAATAAAATAAATTTTACAACAATTATTTCGTTTGCATCGTTAGTTTTTTCTTCTTTTCAAAATATACTTTATTTAAGATCCATTTCAACAAATTCAAATTGTGCTCTTTTTATTGATTTGAGACACATTTTGAAACTTCAGTGAATTGTTAACAAATAAAAATACATTCTTTTCAATACTCGTTTGCATTTCCTAGTTGCTATGGCTTAATGACTACTGTTTGATTTTATCACCGCTGTTTAATGATATTTATTAATTCGAGTGTTTGTGCTACGGAGGAGATCAAAATATAAATTTACGTGTCTCTACATTGTAGATTTTAATGTGGTGGCTTTCGCTCAATGGCGACCGCATCGAGCCGAAAACGTTATGTGTTTTTAATTGAGAATTGAGAATTGACTGCATTGCTTGAGAAAATAATGTAGAAACGGACGCGGTCCTACCCTATTGGTGGCACTACAGCACTACTTTCTTGGCAAGTAATTCTTGCGCATATTACTAGAACGGATCAAAGTTAAACCATGCCAAAACCTTCGGTGCCTTCGCTGATTGCAATGAGCAACGATTTTTCGAAATATTCGTACTTCTCGTAGTCGGGCAAGCATAATTGATTGAAGCATGTATGAGCGGTAGGTAGATTACCGAATGTGGGTGCGGCTGTGATTTGAAACTTCGGACTTAATTCCTGTATTGAAAAAAAAAGAATGTAAGACACCAGAGAATGTTGAAAGTGAGTGTAATTTAAGCCAAAAGCTACGGGGAAGTAAATTACTTGAAAACCAGCGGGTGGTAATTGACTGCACCCCGTGGTGAATTGAAGTAAACGAGCCATTTCCGTTTGATTGAAATTACTGACTGCCGTCCAAAACCAGCCAAGGACTTTGCGAAATTCGGCCGAATTGCCGTTTGCAATGTGATGCATTCGAAAATCAGTTATTGAGTATTCACCAGTACCGCAAAGCAATAGCTCTAGCTCATTCTCATCGAATATGCTTAACAAATTGTCTGGAATGATTCCGTTCAGACCCTTCAAAAAGCTGTCCACTTCATCACGCACATTGTTACAAAGACGTTGCTGTGCTAATGCATCCAAATACTAAAACGATACAAAACCGAAACCATTACAGAGTCATATGAATTGCATAAAAGTTCAATCCATTTTACCTGATTCTTTGTTTCGTTAGTAACACGCACTTTCGAACCATTTGGTATGAGTTCAATGGTTTTGACCAACTGGCCGCTTGTGTCGTAGACATCTTCAACGAAATACAATTCCAAATTGTCACTGGCATCCAAATCCGTTTCTAGAATGTACTTGACTTTGGAAAGGTAGAGATCCGGATCATCTTGCTCAAAGTATTTATAATGCACTCGCAAACCGATTAACTGAGCCAGAAAACTTCGGGTGAAACGAGCACGAATCATTTGCCGATACGATCCACCCAATGCACTTTCATAAAGGCATTTTCCGACGATCTTCCCAGCAAACTCAAAGTATTTGAGTTTGAGAGACGCTGGTCGATTGGAATTCGGGTGAACAAGCGCCTGGCGTTTATCATGGAAGCTACAGAACAGGCCACCGCGTGGGTCGAATAATGCACAACAAATCAGCTCAAACCATTCACGTCGAAGACCACCCCAATCAATGCCTTGCTCTCCTTGGAATGTTACTGAAAGGAGGAAAATAGTTTTTACATCATTTTGGCGTCTCCACTCTCTCCGTCTATTTTTGCATTGAGACTTGAAGTCTCAAATGCAAATCTATATGGTGGCAATGGAGACGTCAAAATGATGTTTCAAATGTACGGCAGACTATCGTCGTCCTTTGACCATGAATATTAATAATATAATTGTTTGTCAATTATGACACTTAACAGTAGATCAAACAAGATATACCTTCAAAATTTCCGCACCAATCCGATACCGAAAATCCTTAAAAAAAATTTTTTTTTTAATTAATCATTACCGCAAAGTTTGGGTGGGTTTGTGTACTAGGGTTCCCTAGAGGCAAGTCAGTGGGGAAAGGGGGGTAAGTCGGGTAAGTCCGGTAAGTCGCAAAATGGGCACCCAAATTCATGGGGAATTGCCCCAAATTCATGGGGAAATGCCCCAAATTCATGGGGAATCGGTGGAAGTCGGCGGGGAAGTCGATGGGGAAGTCGACGGGTAAGTCGGGACAGTCGTCTGGGCCGACCCCAATTGTCTAGACCCACCCCAAAATTTCCCCGATCCCCCACTAATTTGGTATAATTTGACCCTAGTACACAATTAAGACTTATTCAAGGTAATCGACTTAAACAAACTAATACCTTTTGTTGCCTTCATACTGGACTCAAGGATTTTTTCGCGATTTACTTTCAGCGAAAGCTTTTCATGATAAAAGTTTGAATGATATTTCCGAACCTCGTGATAGAAAAAGTCCTGTTTATCCTTGAATGTCTCTGACCCGCCAATATTTTTCAGCAAGAAATGAGTGAATGTGGCCGCAATGATGTTTCGATCTTTCGATGCAATCTCAATTTTTGGTTGGCATCCATCGTCAATGATGAACACCGGACCGTATTGATTCAGATTCGATGTTGGCATAAAAATGAACTGTTAACAAAATGAAGAGAATTTAGTTAATGTCATGAGAAATTCGGTCATAAGAAATGAATTCAAAGCGCCTACTTTAGTGGAAGGGCAAAGACGAAATGTTGCAATGCGCTTTGGAATGATTTTCAATATTCTCTCCTTAATGGTAATCTGTAAACGAGATCGATTGAGTTCAAATGCATTCATATTTGATTTTTTGTTCTCAATTTACCTGCTTCGGGCCAATATAACAGACAACTTTTCGTGGCTTGGATTTTTGCTGTGAAAATACGTTCATTAGTTTGGCTTCGTAGCAAATGTTCCGTTTGGAAATGTTCTTATGCACGAGTGTTGTGTCACTGCTACTCAACACAATGATTTCAAATTCACCGTTCGGAATTTTCCGGCCTTTGAATGTAATGCAAGCTTTGACACAAATGGGCTCCGGAAAGAGCATGGTAACGGAAATGCGCATATTTACTTTGTCATACGACAAAATAATAGCGTCGCTTAGTTTTTCATCTCTCACATCGTTCAAATCGAACACTTTCACTTGAAAATCCTGTTGGCAGGTTTGAAAGAGGAAATATACGATTGACTTAAGTAAAAAGCAAAAATCGATTGTATTCCAAAATAAAAAGTCTTACTCGAATGGCATCTATTTCCCGTTTGAATGTGCAACCGTTACCGAATTCATCGCGTGGCTCAATATAGAGTAGGGTAGCAGCGCTTGCACAACAAACGACGGTATTTGCCGGTCGAACTAGTCGGGATTTGGTTGCATCTATTGGGCCTGGCAGAAAGTTACGCACAAACGGGCTACCGGCAATATGGCTCGAACCAATCATCACAGATATTTTATACTGACCGGCAGTCCGAACGGTAAACTTGACTTTTGCCACATTGGCATTGTTCGGATTGGACTCGGATCCGAGTTCGCTGAGAACCATCACCTAGAAGGTAGTATCGAATAAATTCACATTAAATTTTCTATAATTTGTTGCGACATTTTCTACAAACCTTTCGTGTTCCTTCAGTAACTTCGACAAAGAAGCTATCCGTATCACAAATCGGGTAAGGTTTACCGTTGCGCTGAAAGAATCGCACAGTGAAAATCATAGTGTCGCCGACGACATGTGGATCAATCCAATCCCAGATGACCTTACAATTGGATGGCATCAAGTACTTGCCAGTCACATACTGCAGCAATGAATTACGCGCTTCGGGAGCCAATTGTGGTTGCGTGACAGCGGCCAACGTAACAAGACCGGCAAATGACATTGCACAGACAAGTACATCGCCAAATGCCCATGCATCTTGATGTGAGCTTGACTTTACGATGGTCGACCATAAATCCGATTTCATTATCTCCAGCTGTGATTTCGACGTTGGTAGCTTCTGCCGCACTTTCGACCACAAATCCGCATCCTTTCCAAGCACTTTACTTGCTTGGGAGTCTTCTAACCAATAGACATCCTGGCGGTAGAAGTAATAATAGTATTTACAATTCGAATTTGAAATTGAAATTGTTTGTTCTACAAACCTCCAGAGATGACACCTCTAAGGACAATAATCTGCAAACATGAAAAGCAATAAACACCCAATTTAAATTTAAATCACAAAATTGCATTCTAATTTCAATTAATTTCCATTAGGGTGGCCAAGCGAATGGAAAATTGAACGACAAGGGTTCGTTTGAAATCATAGTAATTAAATTCAACTCAATTAATTGTAATTGCATGGACATGCCTCGTATAATGATGTTCCAGTCGATTATCCTTTAGCCATTGTCGTAGAATGAGCTTCTGTTGTAGGTGAAGGGCGGCACGTTGCACTCGCTGCTCCTCGCCCGGCGGCATTTCTGGTAGTCGTTCCGGATCAGTCAGGGTCGATAACGATGAAATACCTTTGAAATGAAAAAAAAAACAAATGCAAACAATTACGTGTATATTACATGAGATTATCAAAGTTTTTTTTTCGTGTCGGTGTATTTGACGTGATGCAATAGTTTTGTATGGGAGCGGTTAAATTATGGAATCAAATATGAAATATAAAGTAATTTCGAATCAAGTGATGCATGCAATGTTTTTGTCACTTGACGGAACCGGAGCGCGTTTATTCAACTTGTTGTTCGATTTAATGCGCAACATGGTAACAAGCAAAGCAATTTCAGTTGCACGAACCTGATGAAACCGACAAGGAATTCCGAACCGTTGTCATTGCTATTGAGTTTATTTCACAGTCAGGTGACCACATTTTTGTTACGGTTTGTTTTAATGAAATTCAATTATGTTGATATTCTCTTTTTTTTATTCTCGTTACGTGTTATTTGTTTTTGTGTCTTTTTAGAATTTATTTCACACGAAGTTTACGAAAAAATGGTTCAAATGACAAATCAACCGCATCAAAAGGGATTATGTCGCATTGCTTTTTTCACAGACTGTTTTGATATATATTATGTTTGGTACTACTGAAAAGCGTATTTTCTTTAGCGATGAATATTGAAGGTAAAAGCAGCAAATATGTAAATAAAATCGTTCCGATATTGACGTTTGATATGAACGATTGGTATGCTTAAGTCACAACACACAGGCCCTTAAAAATCAATTACGATGCTATTGAACATTTATTGCTATGTGTGTCTCGCTACTGGCGAAAGACACTCAATTTTAAGTACACTGGTTCTATATCAATTTATAGCTCAACACATATATATGTATGTATGACCAAAAGGTAACGCTTTCTTCAGTATGTATCACGGATTGCCCTTTATTTTTCCGTAGACGGATGTAAAATGAAGATTTCGCTTTGATATTGTCGATATTTTTTCCGTTTTTTTTCCTTATTTAGAATTTTGACGCAATTTCGCAGAATATCGAAGGAAAATTTGAACGGGATGAGTTCGAACGGGACATATGATTTTGGACGACCGAAAAAACCAAAAACACCAAAAACAAAATGGAGAGAATAGACACAACGAAAATGGGTTAAATGAAAAAAAAAAGAAATTGGTATGTTTGCAAGCTTGTGCTGCTCTTCGATGCAAACACAACTGATTTGAATGGGGGCTACTTGGCGACTGAATATTTTTCAACACTATCCAATTTCACTCTTCCAGTCTCTTAGCACATATAGGTATATATTGCACACCGATACCGTAGCACTATATGGTACTGGAGTTTATTGTATTGTATTTGTAAGTAGCGTGAATAGAAACAATAAACACAACTACAGTCAACTTATATATATATGTGCTATGTTCAATTGGAATGTCTATATATCGACAGTATTCCTTTGGGGTTTTTAAATCATATGGCACGCCACAAATTTACAAAAAAATCCATTAAAAGTTAATCAAACCAGTTTTCAATATGAAGAATGAACGAAAAAAAAAATTATAATGGCTTATGAAGAATTCAATTTCAATCTTGATTTTGCTACCGAACGAAAAAAATTCGTTCCCAAAGTAAATGCTTCATTCAAATTACTTCTTATGCGGCATTTCCTGTAACGCAGAATCAAACGAATGTGCTTGTGTATAAATGTATCCTTTAGGTGTTTTGGTACACTTCATCCACTTCATTAAATACGTGAACATTTCTGGCGTACCGAACACAATACGCAAGCTCTTGAACAACGAAAACACGCGCTACCATCTGTATGTGTTTATAAACATAAGTGACTGACGGACACATGGCCACCGTGCAGACCATTTGCTGGTGTTTGTTGTATAGGATTTTTGGTGGTATTTTTTCTTCTTCTGCTTCTTCTTCTTCTTTCTGTTTCTGACTCGGGCGAAATTATTCCTTTGTACTCATTTACTTACTTACATGCAAAGCCATAACGACGGACGTTGCGTGTGATTCCGCCAAAAGGAATGGAAAAAGGGAAAGACGACAGTAAAACAGCGAAAGAATACTGTGCGAAAGTACAGAGTTGAGAAAAAAATTGAATTCGACGTTGCTTAAGCAATTACGATACATGAAACAGCATGAAACTCTGCCATATACAAATTCAAGAATGGATAAAAGAACAGGTGGTTTATTCCATGCTGCATGGAAACATACTCAACAAAATACTATGTCATGTACTGAACTTTAATCGACTCTCGAAAAGGAAGCAATTGAATTGGTGCCAAGTTTTAGTTGTTCAATTTGCCATTCGGAGATGTTTGGCAATTCCTTTGTTTTCGCAGTCAATAAATTACGGTTACCGTTTCTTTCGACGAAATGAATCAATTTCATTTCGATTTAATTCCAAGTTTTTCTTTGCTCTGTGCTGTACATACAAGTTGACACGAACGCCAAGCAAATTTCAACTTACCACGTTTACGAAACGCCTCCTTGTGTTGCTCGAATCGATTCTGTTCGAGCCACGCTTCCACCTCAAAACGTTCATCACCGTAGGAGAATTGGAAATTTTCCCAAACACAAATTATTAGTTTTGACAATGAAACGGATAAAATTAACGTAAGAAAAAATGCCGCAGATATTTTCAACCAACGAATAATCATTTTGCAGCCATAACCAAATTTTATCTATTATTTTTTTTCTTTCTGCAAACTTTCACCAAACTAAATATCCAGTAAATGAATCGAATGTTACTACTCAATTATTTTGTGGTGCTTGCGTACAGCCAATTGATTGCTATTTATCAACTGAATATCTTATCACTTTTGACACAGCGCGTTTTTACTTTAATTTCCATTTCATTTGAACAAACTTTTATTTTCTTTCACTATTCCAATTTCAGCTGATAATGATTCAATGCACCGATTTACAGAGAAACTGTGCTGTACATGAGGTTCTTGGCCGAGATTCGTCGGCAGTAGGACGTAGCAGCGTTCATTGCTGTCGTCATACGAATTTTCACTGAAAACCAAATAATGCCATTGCAATGCGCGAACGTATGTGCTGATGTTCGGTTTTATCGATATGACAAGACAGCAGCACAACGGCACGAACAGTGGAAGCACAGTCAAGCAGAAAGTGGAGTATAGCGAAATACGACCATTGACTATGAACGCGGATGTGTTCGTGATACGGTGGCGTGAAATAGCTGGTGCGCGTCGATGTTGCGATGTAGTAGTCTGTCTGTCGAATGCGATAAGGATACGGAGGCAAACGCGGACGAATGATTGTCGTGCAATCGTTGTCGGATTTGCATCAGTTTTTTTTTCTGCCTTCAATTCAAAGCAGCACTTTCATTCACATAACACATGTTCTCTTCTTTGCTCTTTCTCTCTTTCGCAAATATTTGCCAACCTCCTGCAAACTTGATAACCATGACAGAGAATTGTGTTTTCAACAAATTGAACTCAATTCCAGTATTTGGTTCCATTTTTTTCCATATAGATTTGTTGCCCTTTCTATGTTTCTAATTTTAAAATAGAGATAACAATGAAAACGGTACGTAGCAAATCAGTCAACGGTGACGTAAAATATTTACAGCAATATTGTGCTCCTGCGGTGAACTTTTTTTCTGCATGCATACAACTGGCCGATAACCTTCATTTGAACTGGGACTTCATATGACTGTTTTTTACAATAAGTATCAATCTCGTCAATGGATCGTTTCGCGGTCAGTGTTATTCATCTACTTACAGTGATCAAACGAAATATAGTGTAGTTAACAATAGTCTAAAAGTGGAATTTTTCAGTGCCTGACTGCCTCTCTGTTTCCAGACGAATTCAGATTTTTTATTTTATTTATTTCTTCCCCGCTATACAATGCCGACAACTGGTACGATGGGGTACGAGGGATGGAGTTTGGAAATGGAAATGCTCATCTCTGATGAATGGTATTTGTGGGAAGATTTCGTGCACTTCGTTCGCTATCGTTTGGGGCAGCTGTCATTCACTTATGATCGCCGATCGATTCGCCAACATTTGGATTTACCCAGATCTCTAGTAAGTGTGTTGTAATTGTGATGGTTTTATTCGAAAGCCTACTGAAGGAGCATTTGGTAATCGATAACTGTGTTTTATATTGCAGCGTCAAATACATCAACCCTTTCGTCATGACGTTCGTTTTCCTTCCAATCAAATACTGATCAATACGAGCTTTGAAATCGATCTATGCATACGTCGCATCCTCTCGGCAATCGATATTCCCGACTTTACGGATTATTCCAATTGCTCTAGTGACGCAATTGCCGTTTACAATAAATCAAAAGAGCTGTACTACTATCATTTGAACGAACTGTACGAGTTGACCAACTTCTCCGATAATTTGCTGGCTGAAAAAGGCGTATTTAATCGACAAAGTTTCGAGGATCGCAACAGTTTAAAGTGGAAAGAACCAACGAATAACGTTAATTCAAAATAATTTCCAGCGAAAGAAACAAAAAAAAAACTTAATCAACTGCATATTGTTCAATTTTTCTTTAAATAAATGCTTTCAATTCCAATCTAAATGTAAAATTGCGATTTTTTGTTCATTGGTACTATCATTGCTAAATACATGATCATTTTTTGTAATTTTTTTAGCTGAGTAATGGAGTGTGATTACGGCTTGGAACCATTCAAAAGACGTAGAAAATTTTCCTATGACATCTATCTATTATAATAGAACGTTTGTTGATTTGTTAAGCCGATATTGTTTTTATACCGTATCGATTCCAAAAATTGGTTTGCTATTTGAGTCCATTAACTCATTCTGTTTCGATCCAAGCTTCGTTCGTTCAATAAGTCGTTTAGTGAGATCTTGCAATTGATCGTCGTTAAAATTTCCGTTATGTGCTAGGCCTCCCATCTTGCCGGGAAAAGCCGGGAAAAACGGGAAATTCCCGTTTTTCGGTCTCAGTTCCCGTTCCCCGGTTTTCATGCAGTTTTTATAGTATTTTCCCGTTTTTTCGCGAATTTTCTTCTCTGATTTTTTTAAGCTAAAAATCATATGATTTGAATATTCATTGGACAACACAATGAATACGCTATATGTGTGACAAAAAAAATACACCAACTGAAATGTTCATTAAAATTATAATGTTCTCGACACAGCCGCTTCAACGAAAACTATCTATTAAATGACTATGATGTTTGTCTATTATTTGATCAGTAAGTTTTGTCTATTTGTTTGTAATTTGCGATTTTGTGACAATTTATCGCTTGCTGCACAATTGCTGTGATGAATCATTTGAATATATCGATTTGAAGCTGATCGAAAGTAAGTGGCACGAAATGAAATCAGTTCGTGTTTGGCCATTGACTATATCGTTGCAATAAGTTCGGTTGATTTATATTTTTTAAATTCTGGAACCAAATTGAAATGTCAAAGAAAGGCACCAAATACTCAAACGCTTCGAAACAATTGCCTGAGTTCAAACTATGGTTAACCGTGGTTGATTCTGGTTGTTATAAAGCAAACTGTAAATGGTGCAATTCGGAATTCTTCATCTCACACGGTGGCAAGAATGATGTCACAGCGCATTCAAAGCGAATCAAACATTTGGAAATTTTGACATCGAAAGTAACAAAATCGTCGGTTTCTCTTTCAAATCTAAAATTTATGTTATTTTGTAGAAAAAGAAACAAACGAAAATTTACTCATTGCGGCAAAAGAAGCGACTTCCGTATATCATATGGTTCGACATAACCATTCGTTTCGTTCAATGGAATGTAAATCGGAAATGATTCGAGTGGTTTGTGACCCAAAAGGTTTTTCATGTTCGAAAACAAAGGCAAGCGCGATTATAAGTGGTGTTTTTGAGCCCATGATCTTGCCCCAAATTAAAAGTGAGTTCGAAGAAGCATATTTTGTATCGATCTACACAGACTCTAGTAGCCATAACGAAATCAAAATGTTCCTGTTCACAATTCCATTTGACAGAAGATGATGGTGAACATATTTTTAAAATATATTCAACAACAAAATAACGTTTTTCACGTTTTTTTTTTCTTGAAATTGCCTTTTTTCCCGTTTTTTAGACAATTTTCAATTCCCGGGTTTTCCCGATTTTTAGCCACGAATTTCACGTTTTTTGAAAAAAAAAAAAAACGTGATGGGAGGCTTTTCCGGCAAGATGGGAGGCCTAGAAATAATCCAAGCGTGATATTCCCCTAGCACACAACTATCGTGTAAACAAACGTCGCATATACGGCTATCGCAACCAACTCACACATAAAACCGACTAGCATACACGGGTGTCAGAGTTGTGTGTGATGTCTACTATTTACACTTCGTCAGTGCAGCCTTGTTTTTTTTTTTCACTAAATGGGGAATTGGTTTAATTTTTTCATCAATCTGGGCTATTTTTCGGGTCAAAAGAGTGTCGCTGAACTTCTCACCAGTAAAGGAGCCAATGTTGATATCGAAAATGTTTGGAATCAGACACCTCTTCATTTAGCTGCTGAGAATGGTAATTTTGAATACTTGTTTTCATTGAATAAAAGATTGGTTTGATCTTTTCCATCGATCTGAATTATTTTTCAGGTCACAAGAGCGTCGCTAAAGTTCTCATTCGTAAAGCAAACGATCTTAATATTAAAAATAATTTGCACCAGACACCTCTTGGCAGCTATGAATGGTAAGGTTGACTAAATAAGATATCCCGTCGATCTCTTTCATTGAACCAGTTCGCCTCGCTTTCTGCATTGCAAGCCGTTTGCTTATTGCTTTTTTGTCAAAGCCAGTGCGCAACACATTCATGGCGCGCGTTTCATACAGAGAGAATATGTGATAATTATTATGTGTTGACACATATGTGAAAAGGGAATTTCAAATGTCAAGCAATACAAACATCTTTAATATTGTTACACACGCACACAGTTAAAACAATGAAATGAGAACAAGTGCGCAATACACTCATTGTGCGTATTTGAAAAACACACGTAGTTGGGAAGGAGAAACGAAAGGCATAAATGGAGAGCAGTATCGTGATCGTTTGTGTGTGCACCATTCAATACACGCAAACAGTTAGATGAAAGGAATAAATGGACAATAAGAACAAGAATTTGCCTCTGAAACGCTTTAACATGAATGCATAAGAGAAAATGAGACATAAAGAAAACAATATTTTCTTACGATACAAAACAAACACTTCACACAGCCAAAATTCGCTTGCTTGTCATTCTGTTGATTTGCCGCATAAACGCGGTTTTGCTTACTTATTCAAGTAGACGAATCTCAACAGCAGCATCGTCACTGCGGTGTTTGTGTTTATATTTTTTCAATGCGCCAAAGAAACAGAACGACGTTTGTTAGCGCCAACCAATACACAAAAGCGCATGTATCGAAGTAATTCTCACAGTAATGATGACCAGTTCATTCGATCGCAGTGCTGCCAGCCAATTGTCAACCCGGCAACTATTAAACACAGTGTATGGACATAAAAATTATGAAAGCCTCACCGAACGAATCTAGGCTTTCATCAAAGTCTATCGCGTCCACCCGGGTCCTTTATCCATACCTGGGACGGAAAAATTTTCGAGAAAAAACAGGCAAATAAAGTTGCGAGCAATGTGTCACTTTTGCTACTCAGCATTGAGCGGAAAAGACGTTTTTGCATTTTTCTCGCTACTGAAAATAGACAACGATTAGGTGTCTTCGGCATTGTTGTAGAAAATAAAAAGAACTACAAATAAGTATAAACACAACAATAATATATTAATGATTCAGTGAATCAGATTCACAAAATTCGAAAGGGGCTAATGAAAACTGAATACCAGTCAACAGCAAAAGCAACCATAGATATCCTACGAGTACTAACACAAGGCTGCGTTTCAAAAGAGCACGTACCAATCTTGGATTCAAAAACATTTACCGTAATTGCACTGAGCTCTATTACAAACATGCCAACCAATTGCCAACTGAATATTCACTTTACACATTTGAAAAGCGACTCAAGGAAATGATTCTTATGTGATCGTTTGTGCAGTCATTTCTCTCCTAATTCATAATGACTAACATCTACTAAGTTTCTTTCTTTTTCTCTTCAAATTGATATAAACTCTTAATATAATGGGAGAAAAACAATTGCAATCGACAAAAAATAACAAATATTAGGTCCCAAAAATTTATATGTATGGATTGGTAACTTATTTAGAAACCCAACATTCTTGGACAAAAAATGGAATGATGAAATGGAAAAAAAAGCCCTATATTGTTCCCCGAGTAATGTGGTCATAATTTGTAAAGTAATTTAAAAAGTAGATCTCAACCAGATGTAAGCATGAAGGAACCGAATAAATAATAATAATAATTCGTCAGAAGTTGTAACTACCTATGGTTATGGGGTAGTGCGCGAACCAAACATATTAAGACGTTGTGATGCAAAGTATATGTCATCTAAGCCACCAAATCAGGCAGTGTTCTTCGTGGCCGGTGGAGATACGCTGGATGGGGAAATTGTTGAACGAGCTGGCGATCCTAGCGGTCTCAGAAACATATGGCAAAATCATGAGCATAAACCAGGGTGTAAATGGAACGTCAACAGGTGGTCGCGGAATCTTTCTTCCCATTTCCCTCTTCCTTGATTTTATCAATGATCCAAAGGTAGATTATTATTATTATATAAATGCGAATATATCAGAAAAGTGCATTTCATTTTATTTTCCATTGATCGTTGCGCAGTTATACAATTATCGTTAATGCGCACAGACGTCCTCGTTTCAGTAGGACAGTCCTCGTTTTTGAGAACGATCCTCACGTCCTCCGCGATTTTCAAAATCAGTCAAAATGTCCTCGTTTTTAACGAATGAAAAAAATATTAAAATTTCACCTTAAAAACGGTAAAATACGAAAATCATTCTTCAAAATGAACAGCTAAATTCGGATAACACACTTTTTTGCTTAATCAGCTACTTTCTTGACCTTGATATTTGCGACTTAGTTCTCATTTTTGGCTATTAAAGTATTATTTATTTGACAACAAGTGTAAACATTTTCTCATGTTCTTTGTTCCATTTGCAATAGCATAGGCAGTGAAAACAGTATTTATTGCCGGTTGCATTTTCTTTATTCTGCTATACACACTAAGAAACAAAAATAAACTATCATTCGATAATCAAGACAATCGAAACGTTGTCGTTTAAAAATTTTAATCTCTGTTTCGATCGCTTTGAAAAACTGGCGACAGTTCTTTCTAGAAAGTGAGTAGTAAGCGATAATGAATATGAATCACTAAGGATTATAAAGTCGCTATTGATTGGATTTGCTTGGTAACGCAATTCTCGCAAAACTCACTTTTGAAAATTGCTACTGAAAACAGCTGGTCGAAATGCATCACGATGAAATGAAACGATTGTTTATCCAAATAAACAATTTTGATTGGTAAGTTTAACGAAAACGACATGATTTGTTGTTGTCTACAGTTTGTTTTTGTGCATTTACGTTCCGAGAAAAAATCAGTAATAATTTTAACTATCGATGGGCGCAAAATGACGAATGGTTTCAATAAATGTGTTCACATTTTGCAAA